TTTTTAAGTTAAAATATTAGTATCTCTTGGGACACCTGGGTGGCTCAGTCAGTTAAGTGGTGTCTGCCTTCGGCTTGGGTCATGATCCCAGGATCGAGTCCCACATCAGGCTCCTTGCTCAGTGGGGAGCCTGCTTCTCCCTCTGCCTGCTACTCCGTCTACTTATGTGTGCTCTCTCTCTCTCTTTCTCAGATAAATAAAATCTTAAAAAAAAAAATTATTAGTATCTCTTAAGTTGTTAGCCAACTATTTAAAGTTGGGTTCCTTCCTTCTTCCTCTTTCTCATCATCAGAGGCTCCATAGGTTGTTTCCAACCCCAAAAGGGTGTCACAAGGGATGGACACACGGACCCCCAGGGGGGTGGGGAGTCTCTGTGCTGTGGCCACAGCACGATTGTAGTGATTTGAAATCAAGATTATTCAACATTATCCCATCTGTCAGGCTTTAGGGAAGAAAGGTGAATTGGTAAAAATAAATGTACTGGGTAAATACTTTTTTTCTCATCTTTTTGCTGAGACTGATAGAAAGTCTTAGGAATCCAAGTGACTTCAGGAAGAAAACTAGGATTTGGGCGAACATGGCTTCTGGAGCAGAGTGACCTCTGGGCACCTTCTTCCCTTTGTCTATCATGACCTTCTTCAGGGAATACTTAGCAAGGGTTTGACTCCCTGGCTCCAGTCAGGAAAGGAGGAGTGGGGGAGGCAGATGAAGATGAAGGGAGCCTATGGATTGGGGGGAATCTGGAACATTCTTTAAAGGCAGTATTTCAGTGATAAAGCTGGGCTTCTCATGCTTCCCTGAGCCTCCCTAGCAGAGAGCCCCTGGTGGGGGCTGAGAGGGGCTGTGTCCTCCTGGGCCAGGAAATTAACGTGCCCGGTGTAGATGTGGGGGAGGCGGGGGACAGCTCCAGCCCCAGATCTCAGAAGGACACGGCCTGAAACAGGAGTGCTGCCCGAACATTCTGAGAGTCCTGAGACCCCCTACAGAGAGCATCCGGGGGCTGGGAATCCCATCCACGTGGGGTGACAACTCCGGGGGGGGGGGGGGGGGAGGAGGGACAGTGGCAGGGTGGTGGTAAACCTCCCCTTTCAGAAGGCACAGTCCTGGGTGACCTGTGGAACCGTGGTGCCATCTGATGGCCAAGACAGGGAATGAGCTGAGGACACGCGGAGGGACAGACCCGGACAATCAGTGTTGCCCATCTCTGATGGGGGTTTGTGACTTGGCCGTTTGAACCTCTCAGCACCACAGCACTGAACAAGGCTGCCAGCTATGGCCTGGAACCCATAGGCTAGAGCCTGGGGGAAGTTTTGAAGGGATCTAGTATGTGCTCAGTTGTGTCAGCTTTGAGGGGTGAGGTGAGGGGTGAGGGGTGTGTGTGGAGGGTAATCAACCCTTAACCTCAGTAAGTCTACATGTCAGAAGAGGAGACATGACTAACCGGTAGGAAAGGACATCAAGATGATGGAACTGAATGTGGGTGTCCCTGCTGCAGCCTAGAAGCCCGGGGGTGGTTTCCTGAGAGGGAGCAAGAACAAAGAAGGTGAGGCCGATGGTCCTCAGAGGGGAGAGGAGCCCAGCCCAGCAGCAGGGATGCCTGGGGGAGAGGAGTTGGGATCAGCATCACTCTGGGGAGGGGGTGTTGGTGGTGAAGCAGCCCCCCAAGACAGACAACCTTGTTTGAGAACTTCTCTCCATGCCTCATGGTCTTGCTTTTTCAAATGTGTTTTCTTCTTCACCTTGAGAACCATCTTGTCCGCTTAAAAGTATGATTTTGAAGGATGGGCTCAGGGGAAGCCACTGCTCCCTGTCTCTTTTGGTGGCTGGGGTTACTGAGCCCAAATGAGGTCTTCGTAGAGGGGGAGGGGGTTCGGGCTGAAGGGGCTCTGGGTCAGAGCGCCCAAGGGGCAGCATTTTTAAAAGTTGAACAGATTCTACAGAGCTCTGATTCCTATGAGTCGGTCATGATGGGGCCTCAGTGGCCACGGGTGGGGGCAGGTGGGTGGTGGCGTGGGAACAGACAGTGGCCATCTGCGGGCAGCTGGAGGATTTCCTTCCCTTAGCTGAAACACCTTCTTCTTTCTCTCTTCCTCCCTCTTGAAGGTGTTCTTCTTCATGTCTCCCACTCTCTCTACAAAATTGTTGTCTTGACCAAGTCCTTGACAGGCAGTGAAAATCAAGTTCAAATTCTTAAAATACCAGCCAGGCTTTAACTTGGTTTTGGCAGTGGTGACTCCCTTCAGGGAGAGAATACTGGCCTCAGTCACCCTGGCAGGAAATGTCTGGCTGTCTTGTGCGGGTTTTCTACACGGCACTGTCCAGAGGGGGCCCTGAACCTGCTCTCTCGGACTAATGCAAGCTGTTTCTCTCCGAAGCGGCTCTTTAAGTGAATGGCGCATAGTGACGAGTCCTAACCTTGCTGAGTGGCCACTAGAGGCCGGGGAAAGGCTCCTCTGCTAAATAAGATTCAGTGCACGAGTGGGAGCCCACAGACAGGTCTGCTTTGTCACATCCCACTGGCTACCCTGTTCAACACAATAGCCCTTCAAGTATGAGGCTGTGTTTTGTTCCAAGGGGCAGGCAGGGATGTGGACTGATGGAGAGACTTAGCTTCTGCTTTATTTGAGGCGCAAATTGAAGACAGAAAAATTCTACCCCAAAGTGTATCTATTGGCTGTTCCTCTGAAGATAAGGGGAAGAGCAATAGAGTTGGGGTGTGTGTGTGTGTGCGTGTGCGTGTGTATGCATGTGTGTATGTTGGGGGATATATTGTCACGTGCCCTAGGTCATTGCTGGTGGGTAGCACTGCTCTTCATGGAAAGTAGCTGGCTTTTATCTCCCCTTTCTGCAGCTTTTCCTTATTCCACTTTAACTGAATAAAACTGGTAGGACACTTGTCACCTGTAAGGCTCTTTCTATGACTAGAGCTTTCGGCGTTTCAGGGCTGGATGGAACCCCTCAAGGCTAACACAGTCTCTGAGTCACACACACACACACACACACACACACACACTTAGTAGCAAAACAGTGGGAATTTAATGTCTAAACAATTAGCTATCCCAGAAAAGCATCAAAAGTGGGAAAATCATGACATTCCAGAGGTGATCGCTTCTCATGGGCACCTGCTGTTCCAGCCTGCAAAGCATTCCTTCCTTAGGACCCCTCCACCCCAGCCCCTACTGTGGCCCCTGTTGGGCGGTCCGTCCCCGTACCCTGCCCATACCCACAGGGGCAGGTATGTGATTCATATGGACAAGGCCAGGGATTGGAATGGTTAGTAAAAATATCAGGAATAGAAGTCAGCTGGAGATGACTCATTCTGATGTCAGCAACAGAATGGGACTGTTCACAGCTTTTTCTCCGGAAATTCTCCAGATCTGCCCTTACACCTCCCTTTGGTGTTGGTCAGCATGTTTTCCTCATCAGTCCAACAACCCCCTCCCCTTGCTTAAATTGTTAGATTTTAAGGCTCACAAGCAGAGGCTCTGAGTGGACCCATCACTGTTACATTTCAGGCAGTCTCCATCCGGTCTTTTCTCCGTTGCTTGCGTTCTTGGCAGGGTAGTGCCTGGTCTGGTGGCGCACAGCCTGCTCATTTCACAGGGGGACTCGGGTTGCTGATACTGGAGCTTTCCAGAGCACACAGCTCACGGGACCCCAGTCTGCAAGCCAGAAGGTGTACATCAGGCATTAAGACTTTCAAAGGAGATGATGGAATTTTATAGTTTCTTGCTGATCCATATCACCCATGAAAATACAGAAGTGGTAGGGACTTCTGATGTGTCAAGGAAGAAAGAAACGTTTTTTGGTTGGTTGACTGGTTTTTAAAGGACTCCCCAGAACTGTCGATGTGGGAGGCAGAAAGTGAGGAGGCAGGCCTGTGGTGCCTTGGTGTGAGAGAGTGAGTAAGAGAGGGTCCCTTTAATGCAAAGGACTCAGAAATCCCCTCCACAAATTCCTTTTCCATCCCTGGGTCTCAGAAAGTGCTGGAAGGTAATTAGATTTAATGAGGCCGTTATTGCTCTCAAAATCCTCCCTTCCTTCCCCAGCTCCTCACTCTGGCTGCCCAGATACCACTCTTGTTCTAGCGGTCCATTTAGTGTACATTTTTTAGGGAGATTTTAATGGCCAGTTTATAGGACTGTCTATTTTGAGGTTGCATGGCTGGGATCAAGTTGAAACCATCTGCTTTTAAATAAAGAGAAAGGATGACTAAGTACATTTAAAATATGTAATTTATAGCCTGGTGAGCCTTGAAGTGCCCTGTCTATCCAGAGGCACAAAATTTTTCACCAGCCCGGGAAGAAACGGGCCCCTGTTTGAGAGGAGGCCCTACGGGGTCTTCAAGTTTCAGACGTACGTGTCTCTGGAGCGCTGTTTCCTGTCTGTAACGTAAGTTTGAAGCTCTTGGTGTGTTTTCTTGCACTCTGAAATAAACACAACACCTGGATTTAATCAGCGGGACGGTAACAGAATCAGGGTCCCAGTTCCCGATGTCAGTCCCCACCCCCAGGGGAGGGCCAGGAGGTGGCGGCTGTAAGCCTGTTTGGGAGTTCGGGACCATTCGTTTCCCCGTGGACTCGTTATGAATGAACAGCTCCGAGCCAACCTCGGCCCAGGGGTCTCTTCACAGAATTTGAGGACTGCTCTAGAACCTTTAGTGACCTCAGAGAGAGGGGGCTGTGGTTTTGGGGCCTGTTGCATTAGGCATGCGACACACCAGATTCAAGTTCCCATTGGCCAGTGGAGAATACTTCGTGAATCACATTTGACCTTCAATCAAAAAAAAAAACCACTCTGGCACCTTCTTTGGACTTAAAAAAATGCTGCAGGAAGAATGTGTTTCCTTCCAAATGAAGATTTTTGCTTTTGGATGCCTGTTCCTTTGTTAAATTCCTGAAGTGAGGTCACAGACTCTGATCTAGTATAGGACTGGCCGCCTCGCTGCGCTTGTGAGTGTGACCATGGCAGAGGGGAGAATGGGGCACAGAGTTCAGAAAGATGGACGTGGTCCAGCCCACCAGTGACACAGCAGCAAACTTAATACCCATCTTTGCTGCGAGGCCAAAACAAACGGTTGGTCTAAGCAACTGGAAGAAGACGTGGGTTGACCAGAAGCTGATTTCTTTATTGAGAAGTTGAGAAAGATTTGGCTTTTTTCTGTTCTGAAGCTGGTGTTAGCGGTAACGGGTGGTGGTGGCCGTGGGGGTGGTCCGGCTTAGTATCTGTGGGTTTCAGCACAATCCTTGGTGCTCTCTGTCTCTTGGTAGGCAAGATGGAGAAATGAGGGCCCATCAGGAGTAGACAACAAGCTGAAACACCTAATGGACCGGTGTGACCCTGAGGAGAGGCCTTGAGCCCTTGCTGGGAGCCTCAGGGTTCTGTCTGTGGTGCTGTCTTCTTCTACTGTTGTGTTACTTATTTTGAAGTAGAAATTGTTTTTCTTTGAGCCTTAACGTGATAAAGCCAATCTGTAATTTTGGTTTTCTTTTTCAAACAGTTTTTCAAGGTTGGAATGAGAGCTGTAGAGAAGACACAACCGTTTTCCTCTGCTGCCTTTCTCCCCCTCCTTATTCTTCCTCAATTTGTGTCTTTTTTCCTATGGATATAAACTAAAGATGAAAATACCTGACAACTCTGTATGTTGAATTTTTTAAAAAGCCACAGATTTGGGGAAAGCATGTCAAAAGTTGGAGTCTAGATGTTTGAAATGTATCTCATAGGTCACAATGGATAATGGTAAAGTGGTGATTTTGGAATTACTGCTGCACATGTGATCTGATGTCAAAGGAAAAGAAAATACTCAAAAATAAAAAATAAAATAAAATACACACACACAACACACATAATGAAAAGCTATCAGCGAGGTTCATCCTGTCATAACTGTCTGGGAGAAGCAGAACTCGTTTCCCAGTGAAAATTGCTTCAAACCAGGATGTTGTCACTCTCAAAAAATCAGCGAGTGAAGTTTTTCTTATGTCCCTAGTGCTTATCAAATCTTTGGTTTCTGGTTTTTGGGGGAATATATATAAACAAAAATCAAGCTATTTATTTATTGAAACATGTCAGATAGCAGAAAGAAAACACATTCCTTTGGGGTAAAAGAAATTCAGTGCGTATACTTGAAGTCAGCATGGAAATTTTTCTTCCTCACACACTTATCCTAAAATATTCCTCTGTAAAACTAGAATCTGGAAGAACTAGAGGGGCAGAAAGCGAAATTAAAAAAAAAAAAAAGGACAAGTATATAAACTTAGAGCATACAGAGGGGGAGGCTGGTTAACTTGTGTCTGTGACAGACCATGGTCGGATTCCTGGGAACCTAAGAACGGAATTTATAATACCATAGGAACAGGATTTGTGCTGTGGAAGGGGGGACCTTTCAAACTTTACTGCCTTTGTTTTTCTAATATTCCTTAATAGTGGGGCTATTTTCTATCATTCAAATTGCTAATGATACCAAGCTGGAAGACAGGATGCAGTGAAGGCTCGAAATGCTCTCAGAAGGTTAGGACGATGGACGTAGTTAAACATGGTGGTACTCAGTGTATGTGGAGGTAAATGATCAGCTTCAGGGGGCTCAGTTGGTTATGTGTCTACCTTCAGCTCAGGTCATGACCCCAGGGTCCTGGAATTAAGCCACACATGGGGCTCTGTGCTGGGCATGGAGCCTGCTTAAGATCCTCTCTCTCCCACTGCCCCTTCCCCCCAAATTAAAAAAAAAAAAATGAAGGGCACGTGGGTGGCTCTGTCGATTAAGCATCTGCCTTCAGCTGAGGTCATGATCCCAGGATCCTGGATGACACAGTTTAGTAAGGGTTCCTGTAAGGAACAGGAGAATAATCAAGCTGCTTAGACCCCTTGATGGCTTCCCTTTATCCCTGGCCTCAAGCCCAAGGTCTTAACATGCTGGGTTTGGCCTAGTTGAATCTCTATATCCACACCAGGAATCAGCCTTCTCCTCACCCTTTATGGTATAGCCATACTGGGCTTCGTTCAGTTTGAAATATGGCATGTCTCTCTTCCAAAAGCTTTGCTCAAACTCCTTCTCCCACCTGGAATACTCTTTGCCCTGCACAGGTCTCCATGCAAACATCACTTCCTTTTTCCTGTACAATGTACTGAACTTCTATTATATGCTAGCCACTGTGCTAGATGCTAGAGACATAGGAGTAAACAAGCAAACAAACAAAAAGGCTCCCTACTTACCTTCACAGTGTGAGAGATGAGCAATCATACTGTATCATGTGCTAAATGATTTGAGGGAAAGGAATATGTTGCTGTAAGAACATGAACTATGGCTAAGCAGAGATCTTGGGGAGAAAGAGTAGGTGATGCACTTAAAAGTCACAGTCTGTGCAAAGACCCTGTGGTATTGCGAATGTAGCATATTTAAAGAATTCAAGGAGGGCCAATATAGCTGGAGTTCAAAGAGCATGGGGTACAATGGATGTGGTGGGAGATTAACATGGAAGGGTGTGTCTCTTTGTTTTCTGTTATTGATGTCTTTACAGTGGCTGGATTATCACTAAGAGAGCTCTTCTATCTATAGGCGATTCACATGCAAGATAGAAAGTTCAGCTAGAGTCAACATTTACTCAACAATATTCATTGGGCAGCTATACTATGTTAAGCCGTCTGCTGGGAGCTGGAGATATAGAGGCAGATATGGTCCTCGATCTCTTGGGACCATGCAGACAAACCGGGAAGTAAGACAACACAGGCACTGTGCCCTCATGGGGTAGTACAATACTGGACACATGGGAGGGCCACTGAGTCCAGACCTGGGAGCTCAGCAATGGCTTCCTGGAGGAAGTGATGACTGACCAAGATCAGAAGCGTGGCCCCAGTAAAGGGTCAGAAAGAATGTTCCATGCAGACTGAATACCATGGGTTGTGTCCACTGAGCCCCAGGTCACCCGGGAGTGTGATTTGCTTCTCTTTCTCATTAGTGACATTTAGTCCTGAGAAAGTTTAAGAAGCTATGAGGACTGACCAGCCTCCTAACATCCTCACTTCCAAGTCACGTGACTGTAGACAAGCACCTGTTCTGAGCTTCATCTGTTACACGGTGGTCATAATACTTGGGACATTGTGTGGTTTGATGAAATGGTAAAATGGATGCAAAATGAAGGTCTGCCCCTCTCCTGTTCTCCTAAAATATGTTCTTTTACTCTTACATTTATGTCTCAGATAGTCTGTCCTGAAAGGAAGAGATAGAGATGAGAGTGGTTTGTGAGAGGAGAGTGGTTTGGCTGGGGATCTGAATTTCAGGATGTACGGTGAGAAAACACTGATTTCCCGGGCCAGAGAAAAAGAGTCTAAACATGGGCCAGGAGCCCGCGGGAACTATTGCTTGGGAAGCTACTCTAAGTTTCTTTCTGCCATCCTCCTGCCGTCTTCCACGTTGTGATGGGTTATTTTAATCCAGACCTTGCTCTGACTTTTGAGGGGGGAATTGCAGCTGCAGGGGGAGAGAAAAAGTCTGAGCACTCTCCATTCCTGTAGACAGTGACACCAGTAAACCCCTTGTGCTGGCCATTTATGCTTATTCAGGAAGAAAAGGATATTGTTTCAGCGGGCAAGGAAGCCAAATAACTTGACTTTCTCACTGAGTTGCCTGACTGCAGACTAGCTGTCCCATAAGAGCAACAGGACGTCTTTGCCCAAACTGCCATGGAATGCGTTGTTCTCTCATTGGGGAAGAGTGAGGTTGACAGGTTTAGAGTTGCCCTAAGGGAGTGTCAACATAGTGAATTTCCTTTGTTAGCCATCTTTGCAAATCACTTCTTCCTGCTGAGTCTTGGAGTCCTCTGGAAAAATGAGGGGCTGGATCAGAAGATAACAAGGTCATGAGTCCATAATGTCCATAATGTCACATGGCCTTTATGATGGCTGTCCAGAGTTGGACAGCAGGAGTTTGTCCCATTCAGATGAAACACCTGAGTTAGAGAACTCAAAGTCACATGACCTGGAAGTGGCATAACAAGTTCCATTGACTTCAAGTGCCAAGTTTATTCTACTGGGGCCCTTAGAAATAACAGCAAAGCAAGAGTCATGTGGGTAGATATATGCTGACTGATTGGGCTTTTTGATTACAAGGAACAGAGACTTTATAGTACACCTCGTGTAGCAGGATGTTACCGCAACCTTTCTATTGTCTGGTGACATATGTAATTCTGTGATTCCCATAGCATCTCACAATATGCAAACCGGTGTCTGTCTTTGGATCTGTCAGTATTTGCTCCTACTATTAGCCAACCGAGCAAGCTAGCAACCAATTGCAGTTGAACCTCATAATTTATTAATTCCATATCTACAAAAACTTCTGCTCACTAAAATTTAACTGTAACCCCCCAATCAAGACTTTGGTGCTTTTGAAGTCATCTGTGGACATGTGCAGAGCAATGAAAAATTAGACTAGCTTAAGGCACATGTTCCCATCTGAGTTCTCAGTCTATGTATTGTCCTTTTTGCAATATTGTGCCGTGTTTTTGGCATATCTGTGCTCTCTGATGGTGATCTCACTGTTTAAAAAGACCTCCAAAGGTAGTGCTCAAGTGCTGTATAGTTCTTAGGGCAGGAAGGCTGTGATATGTCTCATGGAGAAAGTATTTGTATTACATAAGCTTCATTCAGGCATGCGTTATACTGCTGTTCAATTTAATATATATTGTTGTAACAATATTAAATAAGGTGTTTCTAAACAGAAATAGACATATAATGAGGTTATGTATTGATTGGTTGATGAAACTGTGAACAGAGCCTCACAGGAACCTAATCCTTTGTATTTCCCCTTGGAGCAGTGGTTCACTGTTGGCAAATTCAGTGTTTACGGTAACTTTATAGCACATAACTACCACCAATAATGAAAATGGACTGTACATCTCAACCCAACTGTTCATGAGTCACGTACTGATTAATTGGGCTGTTCTCTCTCAGCTGTTTTTGGTCAGAGCTTTCTCATCCACCGTGATGTCAGGTGCCACCTGGAGGGGGGAGGAATTAAGCAGAATCATAGAGCAAGCAAGAAGTCCACCCAGGGCTGTTTCTCTGGGCACAGGCCTGAGTTAGAGAACAGGGGCGGTTTTCTTCCAAATGGAGATGGGGACTAGGCAGCGACCCAAAGTGACACTCCTCTTCAGCACACTCATGTTCGCACATGGCCTGGAGGCCCAGTCACTCAGGGGAGGCCCACATTTGCGAATGTGTGGGAGTGTGAATGAAGAAATAAAGGAATCTGCAGAAGAAACAAAACTAGACAGGAAGACGAATTGAGAGGCAAATGGGACATCTGTAAACAAAAGTAGCTTTTAATACATTATTTGACCCCAGGCAAGACAGCCAGAGAGGACTTGAAAGAAGGGAACAAAGGTTGAGAGTGTGATGTGTAAGTAAAATCCTGGGGGATGCAATGTTCAGAAAAGACGGTCTTGGGTGGATATTAGGGAAAGAAACAAAAGCCGGGTCAGCATTTGGGGGGCTGCAGATAGCTCAGACCTGGATTGGACTTGAAGGTGGATCTG